AATAAAGTCTTTAGTTTTTATGTAGAATTTAAAGTAGTTGTTGCTGTTTTTTTTAAGTGTTAAGCCAAAAATTGTGGCAAAGCATTGAATAAAGATGTACAAATCGCAGGTTTATTCCTTTTTCATTCTCCAACGGAGTATAACTACAACACAAAGTTTAACTTGTGAAACAAGACCGGACACAGAAAAACCACAGTTAATTTATTATGCTATTCACTTCATTTCATTCAGATTTGTTTTCTGAGCTTTTGCTGTTTTGGGATTTTTTTTTGTTTTATGAGCTTGTTTCACTTTGATTTTACAGTCCATTAGTTCATTTGATCAGCTGCTTTATTCCAATTTTAAAACTGCCTTAATAATTCTTGAGTTACTTACAGTAATGAGAGGCGATGACGTAGGGGACATAGACGTTTCCATCGCTGGATTTTCCCCACATGCAGCCAGAGGAGGTGCAAGGATCAGCATTCCTTTGATTCTCATTTTCATAAGCAATGTCATCAATGATAAAGGGCTCCTCTGCTGTGTGCACTGTGAAATGAGAGCACTGAGTGATTTGATGATATATCAGTGTATGGTAAAGTATATCAAAGTACTGTTGTGCAAATGAGCAAAATACCTTCTTGCTCTGAGGCGACAGTACTAACCACTGCACCGCCATATGGAAAATAATCAATGTGTCTAATGATAATTTTTCTTCATTTTAATCTCAGTGAATGGACTACAACAGGATCTTATTTCTTTTACAAAATGCATGCTCCAAATTTACGTAACATTGAAGGTCAGCAGTTTTGTCATCTTAAGCTCAGTGGTTTCATAAAATATTATTATTGATATATCATTAATCTCAAAAAATCTGGAAGAACATTGAGTCTGGATTTTAACAACAAATCTGTAATATTTTCCTGAGATATTTCACAATAGAAATACAGGATTCACACAAGCAATGTTCAATCTCAGAACGAAGAGTGGAGCAAAAATAAATCTGGAACCATAAAGTGAGTCTGAACTAAATAAAATAACAGGCCGGAAGTAATATGTATATGTATAAGTAATATGTAAATGAAGTATAAATATCTTACCTACATCCTTGTTGGCCCTCCACAGGAGCTCAGCGACAGACAGATCCTAGCTCAATCAGATGGCATCATTCATTAGTGAGGATTTACATGGAAAATCTTCGGTTTTCAATTGAAATTTGTTTCCAGAAAGATGAAATAAAGTCTTTACATGTTTTACAAACTCATGTGTGAATGTGGTTATCTGAGGAATGATTCTTGGCGATGTCAGTTCAGCAAATTCATCGCATTCATTGCTTGTCAGTATTTTTCTTGGATCATTCACTCAGTCACGGCTACCCAACATGAGGTTTTCCTGCTTTGGTGAGTGACTTTTGAGTATTTTGTAGGTCTGTTATTTAGTATCAATTAGCAGGTATTTGTGTCTGTATAGTCTATGACTGAAGCTTGAAAACCAGCAATCTAGAAGGCCTGACAATCCACCATCTCTTCTGGCTCCGAGACTTAAGAAGGTCTTAAGAGCTTGGAAACAAAAGTGACTGGACCTTTTTAAGTTTCTTGAAGATGTTTCATCTCTCATCTGAGAAGCTTCTTCAGTTCTACAACCAATTGATGGAGATTCCCGGATAATTAAACCCTAGTTGGGGTTATTCTCATTGACCCACTATTAATCACGTGACTCATCACAGGAGTCAAAGCGCAAAAAAATGAATGGTTCGTTATCACCAGAGGTTTCAAGTGATATCACACTCGCCTCTTAAGGTACCATTGGATCAATTCTTTTCTTCTCTTGTATGCACAGTGTAATGTTGCATAATTTAACCTAACACAATCATGTCTTGGAAAAATTTGAATCTGGAATTTAAACAAAGCTGTCAGATAAATGTAGTGAATTAAGAGAGCAATATTCTCTTAATGAAATGGAGTAAATGTAGCATTAAGTGGGATTTGTAAGTTCGATATTTAGGATATCCTCACCTTCTCATCAGCCCAGCAGAGGACAGAGGCTCCGAGGAGGATCAATAAACTGAGTGTGCATTTCATGAAAGCCATGTCACACAGTGTTAACACCTGGATCCTGCTGCAGCTCCTTTTTATACCCTCCAGTATATCTGCTGACTCGCAAAAAAACTCATTGACATTGCTTTACTTGGAGATAAGGAGGAAGTTGCCTTGAAAACATCCTGTCCTTTCCCACCTTAAACAAACCAATATATATCTATACGTATATTTGCTTCCAGCAGCAAAACTATACCCATAATGCTGTGTGAGAATGCTGCCCCAGAACACCTGATCAATGTTTTTGGGGAGTTTGAATATTTTATCAGCTGTAAGTGGTTTGGTTTGTCTGTTTGTTTATGAGAGCAGGCATGATTGTTTATGTATGTCATACATACATAAAGAAATTATGGGCAGATTTGGATGAAAACTTTACTACAGTTGGAGCTTGGCCTGCCTGACAGATTATGTCTTGGAGACAATTCAAAGCCAAATCGGGCAAATTTGCACCTTTTTCAACAAATTGTTTTAAATACATAAAAGACAAATTGAATACAGGAGAGTGACATCCTCTGTGTTAATTCAGCATGTGGCTTAAATGTAAATGTATCTTAAGTTCTACCTCTGGGTGATTTTCTGATAGATGGACATTACAGCATCAAGTATTTTGCACAGATTACAAATGGACATTTTGTCAAAGTTTTACATTTCGTGTGACCTTACATGCTCTTCTTGACCTCTTTCAACAGATGCCATGAGGACAAATTGCCTGCAGTGTCCTGTGATGTTTCACTCTTTTAATCTTAAAACAGTAAATCTGTCCTCTCTGGTTGGGATATTCAACAGCCATAGAAAGATAGGGCCTGGATTACAATTATACATTTTTATATATATATACATGCACGTGTGTGTGTGTGTGTGTGTGTGTGTGTGTGTGTGTGTGTGTGTGTAACTAAGCAGTATATATATATATGTGTGTGCAGTAAGCAGTTTTTAAAGCTTTTACATATTTTTGAGCTTGACTTGAAAGGCAGACTCTGTTTCACTATCTGGCTTTCTGACTTTCTCTTTTGATAAGTAGTACTGAATGTTATGACTGACTGCATCTGGTAGTTTCTCAGGATAAAATTGATTTGTTTGACAGCACTCAGTGGACTGACCAATACTTGGAACAGAGGGAAAATCCAAGGAACTGAGTGAAGATCTAAAAAGGAGCATTACAGAATCACACAGGTTGACCAGGTCCCTTAGAGCAAATTGTAAACAACTGCAGATTTCAAGATTAGTTCAAACAGTTGTATGAAATTATGAGTTATTCAGCTGTATCACCACTTTGCTATGACATTAATAAAAAGAAGAAAAAAAAAGAAAAGAAAAAAAAAAGATGGTTAGGATTTTCAGTTAATGACCAAGACCCACCAAGGTTAGAGCCTGCCATGAACTGGAAAATGCCAGAACACTAGTGTCAATGTCCACAAAGACACAAGTTTTACATCACCATGGATTGAGAGAGTGCTGACAAAGTAAGAAAACTCCAGATTCCACACCATCATGCTCAACTGAAACTTGAAATTACTGACATGAACAAGCCAAATTTCTTCAGGAGACACAATGACAAATGAAAAGAGGCATGTTCGGAGAAGTAAAGGTGACGTTTTAAGCAAGGTGGTGGGACTGTCATACTCTGGCTTGTTTTGCTGCTTGCTAGTGGTACCAGTATATTGCACAAAGTGGGTGGAATAATGAAGAAAGGACTACCTCCAAATTCTTCAACTCTGTATCAAAGAAGGTGGCAAGTGAAACTTGAGCACAGTTGGGCTTTCCAACTCGACAAAGATCCAAAAATAACACATTAAAAGTGGTTTTTGGAATGGATAAAAATGCTAACATTAGCCTCCTGGAATAGTTTTGCCAAAGCCCTGACCTCAAACCTACGGAGCTCCGCAGGGGACATGGGAGAAAAAAAAATTAAGACAGACTAACTCGGGATCTCGCAATAGTTTCATCTCCGAAAACGTCGCAGCACTTTTGCAAATATGTGATGTCTTGTAAACTGAGCAGATATCTGACGTTTACACGTTTACACAACTACATCCATGCCTCAAAATATCTTAAAAGTGTATTTTGTGACCCAGAAAGAGTAATATTACAACTAAGTAGCTGCCGACATTGTTGGAATTCAACTTTTGCGAGATCTCGCAAAAGTCTGTCTTAATTTTTTTTCCCCATGTCGTTGGGGGGCTTCGTACGAACCTAACCATATTGCCCTATTGAATATTGTGGGCCATGCTGGAAAGCTGGGTCCCCTCCAGGAACCTAACAGCAATAGAATATCTAACCAGAATCATTTCAATCATTTCAAAAGCTTGTTGATGTCAAAGGTCACCTCAATGCCCTTTTTCTTGTAAGGTTTTTGTTGTATTGTAAACCCCTATAATAACACAGAGAAAGCTCCTAAAGATAACTGATTTCCCTATAACAGGGGGGGGGTCCAGCTCCAGGCCTCGAGTGCCGGTGTCTTGAGGGTTTTTGATCTCACCCTGGTTCAACACACCTGAATCAAATGATGAGTTCATTACCAGGCTTCTGGAGAACTTCAAGACAGGTTGAGGAGGTCATTTAGCAATTTGAATCAGCTGTGTCAGATCAAGAACACATCTAAAACCTGCAGGACACCGACACTCAAAGCCTGGAGTTGCCTACCCCTGCCCTATAAGCAGGCACCTGGCGAAGAAAGAAAAATTCCCCTTTAACAGGAAGAAACCTCTAAAGAAAATCTATTAAGTGGAAACCTTTTCAGCAGAGGAAAAGAAATAACCCATCACCCTTCAATATGCATTCTGAAAGGTCTGAATGCTTTTTTCAACTATAGTCTAAAAAGTAATGAAAACATAGCAGGTTTAGTCATAACTGAATGCAACATTGAACACTGAAAAATGAACAAAAAAATTAGTTTTCAGTTCAAGAAATTCACAGACGCAGATGTTTGAAGCGGTTTGTTTAATCTTTTCATACACATGCAAACAGCAGTGATATCATTTTCCCACATTCATCTTCACATTTAATCTGACATCAACAGGTTGTGCTTCTAGTTGATGTGCTTCAGGTCAAGTTTGCAGGTTTTTGGGGGACCTTTCTTGCTCTTTTAGACCTCCTTCAACAGAAGACCATAAGGGCGGATGGCCTGTTCTACTATCGCCTGCTCTTCTTGAGCTGAGAACACAGACGGGATGGGAACCAGCCAGTACTTATCGTTGTTGTGTTTCTGCCTGTACTGTGGGTTGATCCGATTTTGCAGAATCACGTTGTATTGCTTGCCATTCTTTTGAGAAGTGAAGGTTTTGGCATAAGAGACAGCTTCATTGACGTAAGGGGTAGAGTAAATCCCTCTGCCATAGGCCTGACCTGGACCTGGCTGTTAAATAAAAAGTAAGATATATATATGTTATATTATTAAATACTGATACATTAAATACAGGCCTAATATGGAAATAGGACAGAAAGAGCACTGAAGTGGCTTAAAGGGTGAGCAGCTCTTATGTGGCATAAATACGTTTATGTGCCATAACAATGGACATGCTATGGAAAAATATTCTGACAGAGATAAATAACAATAAATAAATAAATATACAAAAACCTGCAGCTTACAGGTTTTTGACATTATTCATAGGAAAAAGCTTTCTCAACACTTTTGCTCAACAATGCTCAACAAGTATAAGTACAGCTACAGTTTGCTCCTGAGGTCCTAGACATGCAGGCGTCCTCTCACAGTCACATAACTGCTATTTACTGCATTTCCTTTTCTTTGTGTTGTGCTGAGATTTTCATAGCTTGTGACTTGACATGTGACAAAACCATTTAACTCTCTTTTTGACTCTTTTCTCAACCCTGGGATAAAATCCAGACTTTAGAAAACTGAAGTGCTGCATGGGACACAGTCTCAGCATCTCAGCATGTGGAATAAGAGACCAGGAATATACATAAAGTGGGACAGTTGGTGACATTCCATGCAATTTCAAAATATTAAATATCACAATTATACATCATATAAAATGTTACTGTAAAGCAATTGTACTGGGTAAAATAATGGGTTGTGATGATAACATAATCAAACCTTGTAGAATCCTTCAATGATGCCCCCAGCTCCTTCCTTAGATGTCCCATGGTAGGACACAGGCCACTCCCCTGGCACTGACGCAGTGCTTCGGTACCGAGTTCCCAGCCATGTATTTCCATCATACTTATTCAGGACCTGCGACAAAATATGAGGTGAGCTGTATTTGTTTCAGACAGTCCATAGTTCATCTCTGCAAACTGTATCTTCAATTAAAGTCTGAGCTTCTGCATGTTGTACATATAGCATTTCAAAGTGCTTTACCTTTGGTACAAACTGTTCTATTGATCTTACTTTGAATGGGGAGAGTCAGATATTTGGCTGTCTTTTATTTTCTACTACTTAAGAGCATCATGATGTACCAGTTATGCTTATAACACACATATGATATGTAATATGCTAAATAACTGTTTAACTATTCTTTTTCAAACCCAGTTCTAGTTCCATTGACACTGTTCACCTCTCTACATTTTTATTTTGAGGTCAATTCATTTCCAGTGCACTACCTGGAAAGCACTCTGGAAGTAACAGACTGCATACAGTTAATTCAATCAGGTCAAATTAGTTTTTTAAGGTGTGAGTTGAGACCAAATCTTTGCAGAAAATTCTTTACAGATGATTTGTTATATTGTTTTCTTATAATTCTATTTCTGTAGTTTTAAAAATAAAGGCCTAGTATTTGACATAAAAGAGAGGACTAAATGCAGTTATTGATTTCCAAGAAACTGATGAAGAAGAATATTGTTGAGAACACTAATAAACTTCTAGTTTAGTTTCGAAAATGAGCTGGAAGGAAATTCAGGGAACCAGAAGTTTCAACTTTCTAATGATTGCAAATATCTGAAGCCCGAAAAGTATTTTACTGGGATGTCATTGAATTTGTGCTCTACAGCCCGGCTTAAAGATCAATTAAAGCAGCTTAGACTCTAAGTAATGAGCATGAATAAGATGGTTGATGCTGATCTCAATTCAAAGACAAATTTACCTTGAGGGCAAAACGGTACCAACCACTTGGTCGTTCATACACCTCTCCGCCTCTGTAATAGGTCTCTGTGTCTTTGAGACCAGAGAAATCGTAGTCAAATGTCGGATCAAAGAATTCGCTCTCATCGATGATGAAAGACCTTTCTTGTGGTGCAGTTCGAAAACAGGTGTCAGAGCCTGAACATTGCCCTCCATCTTGCAGAACACGTTGAATTCTGGCAAAGTTGTTTCTTGACACTGGGCTGCAAGTTGAGAAAGACAGCTGAGATTAGGGTCTGAATAAACCTGACCATCAACAAAAGAAAAGAAATGCTGCTCTTTCACTGGATGTTTTCTCACTCTCTGCAAACCAAACTGCAACATTGTTGTCAAAATTCTTTGAGCTTTGGAAACTACATCCTGACTGTGAATCTCAATATAATATCCCATCCATCCTCTTATCCTTTTCAGTGTTTTGTGGAGGGGGGTGCTGGAGCCTATCCCAGCTGCCTTAGGGCAATTTAGAGTTTCCAGTTAACCTATGCCCACTAACTGCAGGTCTTTGGATAGTGGGAGGAAGCCAAAGTAGAACATGGGGAGAACATGCACACAGAAGGACCCCAGATGGTGGAATTGACCTTCTTGCTGTAAGGCAACAGTGCTAACCACTGTGCCACCATGTTGCACCATTACTCCAATATAATATACACGTTCCCTTTTTGAGGAATGACATCAGCGCAAGTCTTAAGAATAGTTTATAATATTACAATATTTACCAGGTTTGATCTCCATCTGCGATTGCACAAATGAGACTGTTTATAGACAGCGTTGGTGCTGCTGAGCCGGGAAAGCCTGCTCTTTGGAAAACTCCAGCGTGACCTCCTGCTCTTTGGTTTTGAACAGAAGTGATCTGGGCATTGCAAACTGCACCCAAAGCTTCAAGTGCAACTTGTCTGTCCATCTTGATGTTGTCTTGATGTTGTAGTCCTTTGCTCTGCTCACTTCTACCTGCAAGTGTTGTGGCTCGTGCAGAATTGGGCTTATATGTTACACTGTTTATGACGTAAACCCAGTTTGCATAATTTCTTAGATAAATCAACTTTTGACTTTTTGACCTTCCAATAGGCGTGTTTTCATTGGAACTTTCTGTTCTTCTCTTTTTTCCAGTTGCAAAATTATTCATCATCTCTTAGACTTTCACAACTGCATCCACACCCTGAATCTTGGTACAGTCACAGTTTACCATTTTAAAAACAAAATACCATTATTACAATTATTCAGTAACCTCGGTTTCATTTGCAGAAGTTGGATTCAGCAAGCCTGCAAGAATGAGCTCCTGTTTATTTTATTTTTTTAAAAAGGAGGAAACTTGTTGTTTTTATTGGAGTGGATGATAAATGACAAGAGGGCAGGGGGATAAAATAAAGGTCCAAGCGTCCCTTGGCTTTTGCCTACTTCTCGTGCTCTGACTTTTCTTGACTTTTTGACCTTCACAAAAAGAAAAGGACAGTTGAACTTCTTCTGGAATTTTTTGCTCTGTACAAACTGAATTAAAGTGAAAAAGGATGTACATATTTTTCTCACCCTGTGGCCAAACTGTCCCCCTTCCTGTGGTCTGTTGACACTACTTCTTGCAATTGCAGATTTATGTTCAACAAAAATTCAGTGGCATCAATTACAGCCTGCAACTTCTGGAGTACTTTCCATGGTATTTTACTTAAATTACAGTGCTTTGAGTTCCCCAAATATAGTTACCAATAGAAACCGTAGAAGAAAGATGTCACATTTGTAAGTGTGTGCCCAGAACAGGTGGAATCCTTTGTTCATGTGTGTCTCACTTCCCTATGTCAACATCTGTGGCCCCACATCACTAGATGAATTACATGATAGGGTGTCCTCTCATGTACACACTCTCATTTAATGTTTTTTTCTTTATTTTTACTACTTTCTACATTGTAGATACAAACTGAAGACATTAAATGTACAAAACTAGATATATGGAATTATGGAGCAAAGAAAAAACATGGATAAATAACTCTAAATATGTTTTGTGTTTTTTTGTCTCAGATTCCTGAAAGTAGTCACCCTTAGCTTTGTTGACAGCACTGCAAACCCTTGGCCATCTCTCTATAAGCTTCATGATGTATGACAACTGTTAGAATTCATATAATGGCAAGAACCAATCAGCTAAGTAAAGTCAAACAACAGTGCATCAATATTTTAAGAACTGAAGGTCATTTGTCCCCAAGTTCAGCTGCAAAAACCATCATGCGCTATGATGAAACTGGCTCACATGAGGACCACCCCAGGAAAGGACGACCTCTGTGCTGAGGATAAATTCATGTGAGTCACCAGCCTCAGAAATCACAAGTTAGCAGCACTTCAGATTAGAGCCCAGATAAATGTCACAGAGTTCCAGTAGCAGACTCATCTTTACATCAACTGTTCAGAGAAGACTGTGTGAATCAGGCATTTATGGACAAATAGATCCTGCAGCGACATGCCATCCCATCTGGTTTGGGATGGGTTCACCTCACCTGAACCCAATGGATATGGTTTGAGCTGAGATGGACCACAGAGTGAAGGCAAAATGGCCAGCAAGTGCTCAACATCTCTGGGAACTCATTCAAGTCTGTTGGAAAACCTTTCCAGGTGACTACCTCATGAAGTACCTCATGAATTTCGATAGTGTATGAATATTGACAAGATTTATTCAAACAATAAGCAGCTAAATCATGTGAGTGAAGTTTTCCCCCACCTTCTTCAAATCCAACAAA